AAAGTGCGAAGGGTGTTTTGATTCTCACCAACAATAATCGAAATATCACAATAGTTTGAATTTTTGTAAAATTCATCAAGCCTGTTTGAATGTGAACTCAATAGCAAATCAGATGTCATTTTTTTAATGATAATTCTTATCTGTTTCTTGGTGAAGAAAAGCAAGTTAACGTATCGAAATCGTTATTATCGTTGTACATGTATTACATGTATTCGAATGACACAGTGATTAACGTTAACGTTATACATGTACAGTACCCACAGAAAGTATCGCCTGATGCAAATTAAAAAATAAAAATTTTAATTTATTTGATTTTTGTCAATTTATACAGCAAATAAAAAATAAAATTTATTTAATATTTAATCGGCCCTCCATTTGACTCCAATACCGCATTAATTCTTTGTGGCATTGATGCAGTAACCCGTTCTAAAATGGCCACATCAAGTTTTCCCACTCCATCTTCAGTGGAATCTTAAGTTCATCCACAGTCATCAAAAAGTTCTCATTTCTTTGAACATTATCCTTTAATATCTTCTAAATGTTCTCTATTGGATTCAGGTCTGGTGAATTCGCCGGCCAATTAATAATTGCGATTTTATTTTCCGTTAGCCAATCCTTAATTTTTCCCGCTGTATGTATCGGCGCATTGTCATGTTGAAAGATTGCGCAACTTCCCTAATTGCGTTCTGGAATGGAAGTAATTGAGTTTTTAAAATTTCGAGATAAGTATTTGAGTTATTTTTTCACTTTTTTTTATATTCATCACAAAAAATTAATGGTCCTTTTAATTTCCCGCGAAACATCACCAAACTATTATAGATTTTCGTCCAGTTTTAAAGGTAGACGTCAAACAATTAACGTTAAACTTTTCTCCAGGATGCCGCCAAACTCTTGGTTGCTGTGACTGCTTTCCAATCTCCACACTGGTTTCATCAGAGAAAATTATTTTCAACCAATCATAAACTGATTTATCTTTATTTTCTTCATACCATTTAATACGAGCATTTGCATGTGTTTCTGAGATATAGGATTTCTTTGCTGCGATACGTGAGTTAAGTTCGGAGTTGTGCAATACATTTATGGCGGTTGACAAACTACAAGTTAGGCCTAAATTGCGCGTAGCGGTGCACGTCGTTTTTCGCTAGCTTCACGTATAAGTAAATTCTTTTCGTGATTATTTAAGGTTGGTGGTCTTCCTGAACGTGATAAGTTTTCACTTTTCCAGTTCGTTTATATTCGTTTATAAAGTGGCGTACCGTTGTAGTGTTATATCCGAGTATTTTTGCGATTTGAGCGGCATTGTGGTGTCCATGTATGCTAAAATCTTTCCCTTTTCAATTTCGTTAAGCCGCGTATAGGTGGACATCATTTTTTAACCTAACGAAATTATAGTGTGGACGAAGTGGCAGCAGGTAGACAAAGTGAGAAACTTTGATAATAATAAATATATTTTTTAAAAAATGGTTACACACGTAAATCGGGCAATACCGATAGTTATGTATGTAGTGAAGTAGATGATTTTCTGTTAAGATTCATTATAGAAGATATTATTTCTCTTTTGCAAAGAAAAATAGAGAAGGAAGATGAACAAGAGCCGTTTAAATCATGATAATTTATTTGTAACGTATAATGAATTTTAGAAACAATGTATCATTTATGAACATATGAAGGTATTTTTTGATTTCACGCAAACAAAACGAAAAGTCTTTAAATACATTTTATACTTCAATCCCTCTTTAGTAAATTGCTCCAGCATTACTTTATATTCTTGATCGTCAACACCCAACACCACTTTCAATGCGACTTTTAAAGCTTTTAATGCTTCTGTGGTATTTTCAAGCAACTAGGAAAATAGTAAAATGCAGCCAATTAACATCATCTTCGAGCCATTGAATTTTTTAACAATGATTTATCTTTTTTTTCGATTACCTTCGTTCCATGTATTCCATCTGATTTTCGCTGCCAGTTTCCAACCGGTGTTCTCTTTTCAAGGATCTTTATTGATTCGAATTTATCGCTGCTTTCTATAATGTTTCGGATTTGTGTTTGAATTTTTGTACTTATTCCATTTGAAATCAAATGTTGTTGTACTAACAGTATTTAAACGATGATCAATTAATAATAGATACAATTATAATTATTGAATTTTGAAGTATTCGCACATACAAGCATCGCTAAATTTTTTAGCAATTGGACCAGGATTATGAATTTTTGCTTCGAAATCCTATTAATCAAAAAGTTAATAGTTTATTTCAGTAAATATTTAAAATTATTTAAGAATGCCTGTTTACCATTAATTCTATCATACCGCCCTTTTTTGTAATCCTTATTAATTCATGTATTAACTGTATCCATTGGTTCGGCGTAAAAGCTGCCCATAAAAATCTTTGATATATGAAATCAAACGTTTCACTATTAAAAATAATGTATATATGTTAACAGAATTTTTAATATTATCAATTATTAGAACATATAATCAAATTTTTACTTTGGAAATGGTAAACCGTTTAATACATTAAATTTAAGAAACCCAGCATTTGAGGTTTTTTGTTGTATAATATCTGATGATGGCTCCATTATATCAATACCCAAAAATGTAGATGTAGGATATTCCTTAGCCATATCGAGAATCCAGTTGCCTGAGCCGCAACTGTCCAATGATGAATAATGAGTTTAATAAATAAGATAGCAATAAAGAAAGTGGTTAATCGACTTACCCAACATCAAGGACTTGCATTCCTCCTTGGTTTAATCTTTCATGTATCAGAGATGAGAAATTAGCATCCCATATTCTTTTATATAGCTCATGTTGCATTTGAAGACGCTCTTTCTCAGGAATATCGCAAGGCATAACATATCGTTCATTATCCACTTGAAATATGCGTCCATCAATTATTTTATAAGGATAAATTTCGAGACATTTAATCAAAAGCTCGCTTTCATTTTTCCTTAATGTAATTTGCGAGGTTTGTTTAGAAACATGATGACCCATCTTAAAGAAAAAATTTGGTCCGAATGCGTGAAATTGATAAAAGAAACTTCAGAAATAATTACAGTTCACTCTCGCTATAATAAATTCTCTTAATGTAGTGAAGAATTTCTCAGAATAATTAATAACCTTCAACTCGATACAATGAGGTTATATATTGCCCTCCCGTTATAAGCTAAGTGAAGATTTTTTTCGCTTATTCCGATATGCGTTTGGTAGATCACAGACAACTAAAGCAATAACAATAGGTTAATATGCTAATGCAAAAACAATACCATTTTACATTTATAAATGAACTATTCTCGTAATTATGTGAAAGAATAAATGACATTTTGGAAAAAGGGTTAGGGTGGCGTATTGTATTAGAATTTATTAAATTGACTTATGGTTATTTAAACATCTACTCTATTTCATTTTAATCAACGACATACGTAGTTCGATTTTTGGATAAAATAATATACTAATAATGTTTCTTTAATTTTAATAGAAAAGAATTAAAAATTTATAACCAATATCATTATGAAGAAACAGGATCTTTACGCGGTTATATACGATACTGTTTTCAAGATGTTTTGTGTTTATATTTTTGCGCAATCGACGCTAGTAATACTCTTAATGACAAAACCAGAGAAGTATATCCACATTTAAATATATGTAAATTTGTACAAAAAACAATAATTATTAAAGAATAAAGATTATTATAGAATGATACAGATATTAATTGACTCAACCTTCTCAAATATTTACACCTATTAATGTACATTTATTATTTTCATTAATTTACAGTAATGATTTGAGTAGATTTCTTGTTTATTTGTGAGAATGATATTTTGCGATTTCAGGTTATACTTCTTGCAGAAAGGAACAAAAAAGTCTCAAAAGATCACCAACACACCATCTTTCCCAGGCTCTTGCGAGACGTAAAAGCGGATGATGCTTACGTCTGAAAGGCAAATGGTTAGTACATTTTTATTGATGAGAGTTTTTATGTAATTAGACTACTTGATAATATATGTATTATTGTTATAAAAGTTTTTACATGAAGACTATCTATAATTATTTTATTATATATTTACTACATTATGACAGCAAATAAATCGTATTTTCTACCAATTAAAGTAGATAAATGAGTAAATGAGATAATGATAGAATGTAGCACCAATGATGAAATGATCAATGATGTGCGATAACTCACAACCTATACGCGAGTGGATTTTAACGCATCAATGGCAATGCCCAGCGCAGAAACAAGGAACTTTCGGTTTATCTTATATGGTGGCTTATTTGTTACAGATGAGGACATTTTAATTCTTGTTTAACGCAATTGGGTAACAACACCATGAATAAAATCTTGCTGAATAAAATAGAAATCACGAAAATTAGGAATCTGGATTTACAGTTATTTAGTTTGATATAATCGATAACTTTCAAAACAATAAAACACAGAGATTAATAAACTCAATAATTTATTTATCAGTATCAACAAGAGCTTTGACAATTAAGACGCTGTTTCTTTTCAGTTTCAGCTGCCGGTTTTGCAAGTAAACTTTCAACTTTGAATGATTCTGAGCGATCGTCACATCCAGGTCCTAAAAAATTTGAAAAAACAATTCACTTATCATCGATGAATATCTCACTAGTCTGCTTCCATGGAGATGCAGCATCTTCAAAATTTCTAAATGCTTGAATTAATTCCAACGGCACTTATTAACTTCACCATCGTATATTGCTTCCACGTAACCAGTCGGCGGAAAACCTTTTGCCTTTCAAACCATATCTGTCAAAATTCGTCGCAAATCCGGAGAAAGATTTCCCAAGCGCCATTTTCATTTCGATCCATCACAGTTCCACAATTTTGGCACTTGTACACCTCAGTCCCTCCCATCTTTTGAACATTTCCACACCAGCCGCAAGTTTTCGAAGTATAGGCCTCATTTTGGATAATAATAGCCTAATTCTTCCGCTAAGCTACCAGACTCCTCGTCCACTTTAAGAGACTTGTTAAAATCAAACGACTTTCCGTCACAGTCTGTCTGCAGTAGCAATTTAGTCTTGATGCTTAAACTAGAGATGAAAATTGAGAATTGGCAGGTTTATAACTATTTCTATAACTAATATTATGGATTATGGTGATGTAAAATTTTTGCGCCTGATGTTTTGTAATAAATCTATTGCAGTTGTTTTGATTAAATGTGCATAAATCGCTAATTTTTTTTGGGTTACATAATGATATACATGCACTACATCCATAGTGACTGTATAATGTTATATTTTAGAATCATTTATAATATTTTATAATAGCTTTTTATGCATATCAAGATTACATATTAAATATATTCAAGTAAAAATTTGTGTAGACGTGGACTTAATTTAAAAATTTCGCTCATTTAGCATGAATGGAATAAGAACTTAATATTATTAATAGTCAAATTACTCTAATAATCCTTTGTACTTATATTACTATAATGAAATTTAATCTTTGACTCAGATAATAATTGAAACACTTTACAAAATTATTACATTATGGAAATCACACCGTTTTCAAGAATCCAACAGTGTGAATACGGTTGGTAAAAAATTTCCATTCTTGATTCATTCTCATCTGTATTTACTATTGGTCATCAATCAGTAACCAGTAAGAATACGCAGATTTTCACAGCAACCAATAAGAATGGAAACTAAAAAAACGATGCTTGGAATAGAATATTAATTAAAAAAAATGACGGTGAGCCAATTTTATATGGTGCATAAAATTTATACGAAGAGTTCTTAAATGCACCCCCTCGAAACCATAGCAAAAGAAGGTAGAGTGTGCATTTAAGGAAGGTATGAATTTACGGAGAGTAAAATATAGAGCGCTTACCAAGTCATGCTGTGCATTTGTGCATTTAGAGAGCGCGTGCACTTATAGAGGTTTTTCCTCAAAAAATGTAGATCAGTCTGAAATTTCAAATGAAGAACTTTATGTTTTAGGTCAAATTATTAATTTTTATTAGCTCATTAAATTCGAAAGTTATGGGCGAATCTATTTATTACTACGACGATATAACACTGATGAAAGTCACCTTTAGATGACAAATGCATTTTTTCTTATTCATTCCTTTGTTGGTTTAATTTCTCGATCATGTTCACGTGTGTTTGATAGCTACATGTAATCGCTGGTTGTTCTAAAATAGACAGAAAATAAAATTTATTTTAATAAAAGTGATCATTTTTAACTTCAATAACTTTATTCAAAACAAGTAATTAAAAAAATAAACCATGAATATGAAACTTATCTTTAAAGCAATCATTTTCATGGTTTCGTTTGTTAAAATCGCCAAATTTGGAATATTAGAAAGAGTTCAAAGTTATTCTAAATTGTTTGATAAGTATAGAGGTGATGCACCGCATGAATTTGCCGCGCAGCCAATTTTAATTAATCCGTTTATGAGTTTTTGCCGGATTTATCAAAAATTTATGCATTCTTATTGGTTGCTGCGAATGATGACCAATAGGAAACGTGGGTGGAAATTGAATGGAAGTTTTAAAATATAAAAATTTTATCGAACACAGATGAATCAAAAACGGGAATTTGCATACGGAGGAGATTAACTGTATTCGAAAACTAAATGATCTCTAATTAGACACATATGACATGAATACGCTCTATATTTTGAGCCATATATTGAATTTGTATAGAGTTGAATCATTATATACTAGTGTCTGATTGCTTCGTAATATGATATTGATATGATTATTCAAATAGTTTAAGTTCAATATTAAGAGAAGATATTTGTTTATAAAAAACATTCAGTATTATATATCTGCGCAAAATAACAGTACGAAGTCAAAAAATCCATATTGTAAATTATGTTTTATCAATTATTTAAGACTTAACTAGTTTGATTTATTTTATATATGAAAATATGAATGAAATCAAATTTTTCAAATCAAGCGAGCATTGACGTTAAAGTATTCAATAACGACGCGGAAATAGATAGATCTTAATACATATACTGTTCATGTATGTACACAATGTAATGATTATGACTTTTGATCGTTGCATGTCATATTTCTTTTAATACGCGGGTTCCTGATATAGTTTGTACGTAGTGAAGCAATTAGTTTTTCTTTTTAAGATTCGTTATCGAAGATATTATTTTTCCGTTGCATCGCAAAAAAAAAACAGAGCTCGATGCTAGATAAAGATGATGAACAAGAGCCGTTTAAACCATTTGATAATTTGTTTGTAAAGTAAAATGAACTCAATTATGAATATATAATGGTATTTTTTGCTTTCACACAAACAAAACGAAAAGTCTTTGAATACATTTTATATTTTAATCCCTCTTGAGTAAATTGCTCCAGCATTACTTTATATTCGTGATCGTCAACACCCAACACCGCTTTAAATGCGACTTGCAAAGATTTTAATGCTGCTACGGTATTCTCAAGTGACTAGAAAATAATAGCCAATTAACATCATATTCAAACCACTGAATTTTATTATCCTTTTTTCGATTACCTTAATTCCATGTGATGCTTGCTGCCAGTTTCCAAGCGGTGTTCTCTTTTCAAAGATCTTTATTGATTCGAATTTATTGCTATTCACTATAACATTTCGGATTTGTCTGTATATTTTTGGATCTATTCCATTTGAGGTCAAATGTTGTTGTGCTAGTATTAAATGATACTTAATTAATAAATGTAAGTACAATTGAACATGAAATATTCACACTTACCAGCATCGCTAAATTTTTTAGCAATTGGACCGGGATTGTGAATTTTTGCTTCAATTTCCTATTCATCAAAACGTCAGTAATTTATTCTAGTGAAATATGCAGCATTGTTTAAGAATGCTGTTTACCATCAATTCTATCCGTCCGTTCTTTTTTGTAACCCTTATTAATTCATGTATTAACTGTATCCATTGGTTCGGCGTAAAAGCTGCCCATAAGAATCGTTGATATACGAAATCAAACGTTTCACTATTCAAAATAATATATACATGTTAACAGGATATTTTTAGCATTATCAATAATTAGAACATATAATAAATCCTTTACTCTGGAAATGGTAAACCGTTTAATACATTGAATTGAAGAAACCCAGCATTTGGAGGTTGTTGCATAATATCTGATGATGTTTCCATTATATCAATACCCAAAAATGTTGATGCAGGATATTCCTTAGCCATATCGAGAATCCAGGCGCCTGAGCCGCAACTGTCCAATTATGACCAATGAGTTTAATATATAAGATGGCAATAAAGAAAGAAGTGGATCGGATCGACTTACCCAACATCAAGGACTCGCATTCCTCCTTGGTTTAATCTTTCGTGTATCGGAGACGAGAAATTATCATTCCATATTCTTTTATATAGCTCATGTTGTGTTACAAGACGCTCTTTCTCAGGAATATCGCAAGGCATAACATATCGTTCATTATCCACTAGAAATATACGACCCTCAATTACTCGATAAGGAAAAATTTGGAGAACTTCAACCAAGATCTCGCTTCCAGTTTCCCTTCTGATTATATTTGGTCTATGGATGACATTTTGCGAAGTTTGTTTAAATAAAATTTTTTTGAGTTTAGAAAGACGATGACCCATCTTAAAGAAAAACTTTTGTTTCGAACGCGTGAAATCAATAAAAGACGCTTCAGGAATGAATACAGAATTTACCCTCAGGGAATATTAGAGTAGGTAGTGAATCTATCAGGTCAATATATATTTTAGATTTTTATATATATATAAAAACATGGATATATTTTATATACTCATTACTCATCTCGGGTGGGTATTCTTTAAATCCTTTAAAGTTACATTACCTAATACATGTACATGCATTTAGTAGATCCTAATTTTCATTCCACAATTTATGATTGGTTAATTGACCTACAGCATCATGCATTAAAATAAAATGAAGAATCAATAGCTTTGCATATACCGATACATGTACATGTAATTTCTAAAGATTTGTGTTGATAGTAAAGTCATTATAAAAATTTTTTTCTAATTAAATTTGTATTTTAATTCAGAAAAGAATTTTATCAATTGATCCAATCTTCAAAAATTTAATTTTATCACTCAGTTAATGACTAAAACAAAAAATAACTTAATTGAGATGACTTTAAATGCATGAATAAAATAATAGTATTATTCAGCACTCAAGAGGTTCTTAACCATTCGGAATTCAAAGATTGAGACACAAATTTCGTGTTACTTTTCAAGAATTCAAGAACTCAATAACATTATTCTGGTTTATAAATTATTGCGAACATTTCCACCACATAACATCTAATAGAATTCTTTATTGCTTATTTGAAAGATTAGGTATTCACGGAGAACATATTTTTGTTAGCAATTCCGTGATAATGTATGACAATATTTCGATTGTGTACAGTGCTCCGGTCGTTCCACAAATTTTAAGTTTCATGCACATATCGACATCATGTGCAGAACCAAACACGAAGCACATTAACCAATGGGAAAAACTAATTATTTTACTTACCAGAAGTTAATATTCCATCGATTGAATTAAATAGTGGAGAAATTAAGGATAAATACTATACCGATATATACAAGAACGGTAACGGAAATTTAATACGCAGGTACCGGTACGTTATTATATTCTTTGGTAAAAATGATTTTATGCTCTAAATGTACAAGTGTCTTCTTTCTTTTTCAACTTATGTGATTAGGAAAGTTGTATCATTTTGAATTAAAGTCAATTTTTTTGTGAGATTTGATTTTTTGCGATTTTATTTTTAAGTTTATGAACACTACATTTTCAGCAATGAAAATGATGAATAGAGGATATAACGATAAAGTTTGTTTTGGAATAAAATCCGAATGCATATGTTGTAGATCCTATTGTTCCACTACTTTTCCATGAGATTTAATTGATTTGGTATATAGCATAGCACGTAAATACTATACCAATACAGAATGATCACAAAAATTATCAGAGAAGGGAATAGATATTGCATAATTTTTGGTTAGGTATGTGGCGAATATGTCAATTAGGAGTTCATAATTTTATTAATTTATTCTAAGGTTGATTTATTGAATATTCAAGTTGGAGTCAAAATTGATGGAACAATTGTGCAAACAACAAGCGCTTTGATTGCGGGATTGATAATTGTCATATTCTTATCGTTATGACATTATTTTGTTAACATTCGTGAATATATGCGCTTTCAATTCCCAGAATCAATGTGGCAGCGTAGCTTCAGATACATAACGACTCGACATAACACAACGAACCCAACAATATACAGAGTTTCACCCTTTATAACGTCCAGAAGATTTGCAGCTACCCAAGATTTAGGAGATAATTGCGGAAAGTGTCGGCTCCCGTTCCCAAGATCACACATGCGAGGTTGACGAAGATATGTTACAACTAGATTGAGTGCATTTAAATAGCGAAATAAAATATTCCGTATCAGTCAGATTCAGATACAGCAGCTGAACACCTATTGACAGCGTCACGTCAATATATAATACTTAGTGAAAAATACTCTTTTCCAATTTTTATCTTTCTCCGGCCTTTTTAGCTAATGCCCCACTCATCGCATTCACCCCGTGATTGCATCCTGTTACACGAGATATTTTTTGAAAATGATTTACATGTACAGTGGCCTATCATAAATCACCGGACACTTGATGACGATCATCATCAATGCAAATTTGTTGGCAACTTAAAACTCGATTATCCTGACAACCACTGTATCAATTTCAACAAATTTTGGTTTATTTGTAAGATAAAAATAAACTGTTTCGTTTTGTTTATTAATATTTTGTTGGATAGCCATTACTAGCTATGACTGCTGCAACTCGACGTGACATACTATCAACGAGATTTTTGTATTTACTTTCATCAATTTGCAGCCATTCATTCTGGATAATTCTTCACAATTTTTGGGTAATGGTTCATGCATTCGAACTCGTCTTTCTAATTCATCCCATAAATGTTCTATGGGATTCAAGTCAGGGCTCTGGGTGGATCATGGAATACTACTTATATTATTTTCTATCTTCCATTTTTTAGTTTTGCTTGCTGTATGGACAGGTGCATTATCTTCCTGAAAAACATAATCCTCCTTATTATCTAGAGTATCTAGGAATGGTAACAAATAGTTTTCTAGCACATCTATGTACACATTGGCTATTACTCTCCTCTCCAATTTAACTAATGGATCAAGGCCATTTTTTGTGAAACAACCCCACATCATTACTCCTTTTTGACCTGATTTAAATGTTGGAATAAGACATCCAACATCATATTTTTCATGAGGTTGTCTCCAAACATACTTCTTATCATTTTCTCTGAATAATTCAAACCTAGATTCATCACTCCAAATAATAGTTTCCCATTTTTTTTCTATATTTGCTGTTCCTGAATCCAGAGAAGTCTCTTTTGCCAATTAACTTCATTCACAAGTGATTTTCTGATTCCAATCTGACCAAAGAAATCTTGTTCATGTAAATAATATTGAATGGTAATCATACTTATATTAGCAAATTTTTTGGAGAGATATTTATCAAGAATCATTACCATATCTGTAAAAATCAATAAATATCTCTCTGAAATATTGATATTAATCAATGACTCCAATGATCTTTGATAAATATTCATATTAATAATAATTGATTATTATTAATACATTATTTATCAATATATAATAATATATCAATCATTATCATAATATATTATTTATTGATAACAAATGATATATATTAATAGTTAACTCAAATACTTGTTTTAAAACCAATTTATCATATTAATATCAATTTAGCTTATATAATCTAAATGAACATGCATACACTCACATATTCAATTATTTTCAAGACTTGAAACTTCTAAAATGCTTTTTATTTAATATTAAAAAATATATTTATTT